CCCAAGGTCATATGACCTTGTAAAAGAGACTTGAATCTTAGTCCAGTGCTGTTTGCCACACTGGACTCTTGACAAAAGTTAATATAAAGTAACATTCCAAAGGAACTTCTATTTGGAAGCTTCTTTAACTCCCATAAGAGCAAAGACTTCTCATGAAGCGTATGTTCAATAAGCATTTTACTGAGTGCTTATTGAGTTTACTTCATAAGAAACATACCAGATGCTGGGGAAAGAGAGTCGTGTTCTAGTAGGGCCAAAAGCAATTTAAAGGCAGAATCCTGGGCAATGGCATATGTACTATTGTAGAGGCATACTCCCGTTGCCATGGTAGCCTAGAAGAGAAGGGGCGAAAGCTGCCCTAAAGGGATTATGAGTTTTGAAGGACAAGTCAGACATTACAGGGGCTTGGGAAAAGTGGGACATTCCAGGAATGAGCACAATGTGAGTTGCACTTAATGTGATTAATGTTACTAAAAAGAGGACGGACATGTTCTCAGTAGTGTCTGAGAGCAAGATGCCTGATACCTATGAAGACCATGTGTCCAGTTTCAAACCTTCAGCTTCTTTGTCCTAAAAATTGGAAGCACCTTGGCAGACCACAGACTTTAGTTTGAGAAATGAGGTATTGAAGCCAATATTTGAACGGATCTTAAGGTACAAGGTGTTGGATTCTCAGATAGGGGATGGGCATACACATCATGGACATTTCTGACTCCTCGCCTCTCAGACATCACTGCATACTGTGGGCTCTTTCTTAGAAGTCTCTCAGGATTTCTGCTGCCTCTGAGGTGAAAACGAGGCCTATCTCCTGTGTTTCACCCACTCTGAGAAACCATTGCTTGCAACGTGCCTTAATATTTTAGGTACCATTAAGAAAGAAAAATACTGCCATGGAGCTATACCTGTTGCTTTCTTGCCAATTAGAAGGTATTTAAAAATTTTTCTGCACATTAAAAAAGACCTTTCAGACATATTGAGACATGAGTTTTTATTATAGGTCACTTTTGTACATATGTAGAAAGGAAATATATGCCAAATAACATGATTTAGATATTGCTAAACCTACACAGCATCCATCTCTTTGAATCACTTCAAATTGGGATCATAGGTTGTCCCAGTCTTTCTATAAAACATCATCCTCTGTGCCGTTAAGAGCCATGATTTGCAACATTTCTTAACAGTTCCCCACATTCATCTCTTGGATTTCTTCCCAAGCTGCTGACATTCCTTCTAAAACTTTTAAAGCTGTATGCAGTAGATACCAACTATGTCAAGAACAAAACCTAGCATCAATTGTAAAACTCATTCCTATTTCAGAGAGTTTAAAATGTGTGTCTTAGAATAACTGAAACCATGGTAAGCCAGACCTGAGGTTTCTCAGAACATTATTACAGCTTTAAAAGTGATCAGAAAAAAAGTCCAGAATCCAGAACTTTCCCTCTGACTTTTTACACGGCACCAACCTGCGTCCATTTCCAGAGGTTTCTAACTTGTGATTTGGCAGCCTCATTTCTGTCATGCCCATGTGAGGTGGGAGCAGGATGACAGCTGCAAGTCAAGCACCAGAGCAAGACCTTCTGCCAAGCACTCTGATTTTAATCCTGTCCATTAGTTCTTGGCTCCATCTGAAATGTATTCAGGGCTGTGACAAGGATTCTCAGATCCAGTGCCTCCTTTTTACCATAAGGATTTGGAAACACCATGTAGCAGATTCTCTTTTCCAAAGATTTATAGAATATCTCCTGTCCCACACCATCTTCCAGAACCGTGTTGCTCCTTTATCAAGATTTGGAGCCCAGTCCTCCCAGTCCTTGAATCTGTGTGAGTTTGTTTCTAGTTTGTTACCAGTGGAATGTGGGAAAAGTGAAGTTGTTTGACTTATGAGGCTAAGTCAGAAAAGGCCACGTGATTTCCACCTTGCTTGGTGGAATAGTCGAGCTGGAGCCCAGACCTGCCATGTAAGCAGTCTCACTGCCATAGGCGGCCATGCTGTGAGGAAGCCCAAGCAGCCAACATGGAGAGGCCCGGAGATGATCTGAAGGGAGGGAGATGCCTGGCTAGCCCAACTACTCGAGCTCCAGCCTCCTTCTGACTACAACCGTGAATTGCTGTTATTCTAACCCACTACATGTGGGGATGGTTTGTTACATGATATTGGTACCAGGAAGATTCCCTTTAAGGAGGGGTGTCACTTGTGGAGGACAACTGCCTTAGGGACATTAAATCCTCCATGTGGCCAAGTACACCAACACCAAGGAAAGGCTTCAGGTTCAGAGACCAGTGTTTCTCAGCTACTTATGCTCACTGGGATTTGATTCCTCTCTCTCCCTCACCTCTTATCCTCTTCATCACCCCTAAGTCCTGGTATAGAAAATTTACATAACATCATCTCTTGGATAAATGAGGAATAACTTCAGTTAGTTCTACAAACTGAAAAAATCTCAAACAGATGATAGTTATTTCCCTATTAGCTATACCCTAGCTTTCTCCTTTGGGTCTCAGGGAAGGTGAGATGCTGAAAAGCTACTTCCTGCTCCACTTTCACTCCCTCCAAGTAGCCAGGGATGCCAGGCCTCAATGCATGGGCAGAGCTAGGTGGTGTGGGGCTTGAATCTTAAGCAACTCTGTGAACACTTTTTACCTAATGTAGATGATGGGGGATGGATGCAGCAAACCACCACGGCACGTGTATACCTGTATAACAAATCTGCACGTTCTGCACATGTACCCCAGAACTTAAAATATAATAAATAAATTTTTTTAAAAAGAAAAACAGAAACCAAAATTTGATATGAAAGTGATTTAGAATATAAATTCACAACAAATTACAACTTGAAAAAAGTAAAAAAAAAAAAACCCATACTCATGAAAAAAATCCAGAATAATAACATAATTAACTAATTACCTAATATGCCCTTATGCTATTTTTCCACCTTTTTTTATTTGCACACTATTTGATTAGTCTTCATATGACAATTTTATACGATCGTTCTACATATGGTGAAATGGAAATTTATTCATTTTCCTCTAGGATGGTACTCTAAATGTGTTTTTAATTATTGATAGTTTAAACAGGTTTTTGGTTTCACAACTTGTTATTGGTAACATAATGTAAAGTTTTAAAATTTTTGTCAAATATTAAAAAATAACCTCAAGTTTTTTGTTTTGCTTTTGTGTTTGAACTGTAAGGTCAGAAAGAATTTTCCACAGACTAGCTTCTGGCAATATTAATTTCTAGCCTTGTTTCTCTTTTATTACACTCATAATTCCAGGTTGGATGCCACAGGGCATGCTTCTAAAATAACATGGTCTCTGGCCCTGCACTTTTGTGCGAGTTCACCTGGCTTTGTTCTCCCTTCCTCCACCCCTCCCCCAACCCCCCACTGTGTGGTGGGCATCAGGTGTTGTGCTATACACTACCTCCTCCCTTACAGATCTGCTTCTCCTCTAGATCTTGATCTGGTGAGACTGGCAATCACAAATCTTTACCCTGCTGGCCACAGAGAGGGCACAGGGTGCAGTCACATTGCATTTTCCAGTTAACACAGAGGATCCACGCAAGCACAGGACCCAGAGTCAATCAGCCTCTAATCTGATTTTGATCACTTGGGGCTGGGGAAGAGATCTTCCCTCAATTCCACATATTATCGCAATATTCTTACAGGGATAGGTCCCCACTTATTCATGGGTCCTTTTATTTTCAGATGTATTAGGGCTGGTTTCTATATACTCACACACACACAAAAGTTCCTTTTTATTATTTTAACTAGTCATTTTATGACTATAGAATACATATATATTGTGCACGATTCAAACAATATAAAAAGGCATAACTGGAATATTTCAGAGTGTCTGCCCCTGTAATTTATTTCTAGTTTTACTGCACATGGTCCAGAACTTGGTATGTGCTCCATTATTTCTTAGAGGGTGATAGAAGACCAGAGGGTTTACTGAGTTTTTCTTGTTGTTGTTGTTGTTGGTTGGTTGTTTTGAGATGGGGTTTTGCCCTGTCACCCAGGCTGGGGTGCAGTGATGTGATATTGGCTCACTGTAACCTCCGCCTCCCAGTTTCAAGCAATTCTTCTGTCTCAGCCTCCTAAGTAGCTGGGGTTACAGGCGCGCGCCACTACACCTGGCTAATTTTTTTTGGTATTTTTAGTAGAGACGGGGTTTTACCATGTTGGCCAGGCTGGTCTCGAACTACTAACTTAGGTGACTCACCCACCTCAGCCTCCAAAATTGCTAGGATTACAGGCATAAGCCACTGCGCCTGGTCTATTGAGGTTTTATAAGGTCCAATAAATAACTAATTTGCTAAATGTTTCCTGACCCTTTAAAACTATATTCACTGCTTGAAGTTACAGAGTTCAGAATGTGAGCAAAGTGCATTTATTATATTTTTTACTTTTGTGCTGAGTCTATTTCAAGTATGAAGACAATAGCATCCCTACATCTTAAGATTGTTCTGAGGACTCAATGTGTTAATACATGAAGAGCTTAGAATAGTGCCTGCCACACAGTAAGCATCCCTAAAATGTTCATTGTCATCAGCATCTTCCTTTTTATTCTTTTTAGATACTGGATAGGCATACTTACAGCTGACATTTAACTGTCAAATGCTGATGAAAGTATGTTAGCAGTCTCTTAATACTATTTTATTAATTTCTAATAGACTTTGCTGTATATAATCTGAAATTGTTGGTGATTATGTGACTTGTGGATAATCTCTTGATCAATTAAATAATTCTAGTCCTTTTGATATTAATATTATGATCTCTTACTTTCTAACTATAATTCCCTGGCATCCTTTCTCATCTTTTCATATTCAGCGAGAATCATGTTTTGGTATGTACTTTGAGATAGGAAAATTTCACAAGTCTTACCATTTTCAGAAACCAAATCCTGCTAATTTCCTCAGCAAAATCAACACATTTTTATGCTTCTTTCTCCCTCCTGGCTACTCACATTTACTAAAATAAATGAGAACCTGGGAACTAGCATAAAATCAAATGACTGTTATTCTCTACATTTATTATGCTCATAGTATACATATTTCCTTTCAATTGCTAACATATTGTTTGACAGCCATCATTAACACAATACTTAGCACTAAAATTGGACATAATAGGAGACACTGCCTCACAGCCAGCTCACAAACTTCCTACACACTTTTCCTCATCTGTTGTTTACTTGGATTCATTATGTACATTCCTGAAAAACACCTGTATGGTTTCCCAGTTAACTGCATGAGTAATATCCATGCTTTTGCACTTAAATGTTGATTTAGATAGACATGCAGTTTGTGCTATAGTAAGTGACCTAATTCTCCTACCTTACAAATTTCCTTCACACAGAAAACATTCTGATGCTTTTCAGTTTTTATCTTTTTATTCCCCTGAACATAGTGAGTACTGTCCACTTCTGATGTGGTATCTTTTGAGTTTAGGGAACTTTTCTTCCGGTTTCCTCCAAAATGGTGTTCCTGCTACACATGTTCTGTTAGCACTTTCCTTCTATCGCTTAACAAGACTCTGGATTGTCATTGTCTGACCTCTGTATCTATGATGTTCTCTTTGGCCATTTTCCTTGTTTTGCACTTTTTCTCTGGGTTCTAGGGGATTTCCTTAAGCCTGCTCTCCACATCAGAGGTAGTTTTTCCCAGGGCTGATGATGCTCTTTGCTGTTTCTAGGGTAATGTTAAATTCTCTAACAGAGAGATCCCTGCCCTTAAATCCCTTCTTGATGTTGTCGGTGGTTCCTGCATGTCTTATCTTTACTCTCACCGCATTCCAGAGTCCCTGGTCTCCTTAAATGCTGTGAGCAAATACCGCTTCTACTCCTTGGAATCCATCTTCCAGAGCATGGTTTTTTATCACGTGCATCTGGTGCTCACATCCTCTTCTATTTTGTATTATTTCTGAAACAGATATAATACAAAATTTCTTGCTGTTTACTAACTGGGGGCAATTCTCTTCTTTCGGTTTCAAACAGTTGGGGTCATTCACCTGTTCTCCCCTCCTTGTTTACCTGGCCTTTCCCTACATTCATAGCCTGGGATTAGCGCTGGGTAACAGGATGTTGTAAACCCATCAGTTCTGTCTTCTAGAGACCTGAAGAAGGTGGGAGGATCAGGACTGTGGGTGAAGAGTCCTGGCTGAGTCCGGGAGCTCCTATACTTGTTGAAAACCCCATCCAGGGGTTGTTATCCTGAGCAGAAAAAGGGAATCCTGTGCCCCTGCATCACCTGCAAATGCCTGTGGTGGGTACATGCCCATGCTGAGGGCACAGGCAGCAGTTCCAGTTTGCATCTGTACATCCGGATAGCAGCACTTTGGTGACAATGCTAGACTCCTTCCAACTGGGAGCTGTTGGTGAGGAGCTTCCTGTTCTTGCGTTATGTCCTTCCCAAAGTCCCTTTGCTATTCTTGCTTTTCAAGTGTGAGAAGGGTTACTTTGCAAGATTTCATCTCTGCCCAACTGGTCTCTGCAGACTGCCTCCACCCCTAAAGGGAGCATGAACTGCCTCATTTGCCCAAGCCAGAAGGGAAGTGGGAAGAAGGCACATGATTTCTCTTTGTGGGGGCCTTAAGTCCCCATTTTTCCTTTTTCCTCTGCCCTGCCCATACTCTTCTTTCTCAGAATTGAATATGCTGTAAATAAAATCCACCACCTGGCTCTTCTCCTCTCTGGTAAGGACCAAGCTCCAGCATCTTTTACTTGGGCTCAAATTCTGATGCCATCCAATGATTTGCTTACAGACTAAATTTTTTCCTCTATTTTTGACTCTCCCACACCCATTCATGATTCCATTGGAGATACAGGTTACAAAAACATTTCTGTGCAATAAATTGAAACATGTAGGAAACATGCCTTCCCTCTTCTCTTCCCCTCCCCTTGTCTGTTTCACTAGCTGCCTCTAAGGGTTCAGGTAACTGGAAAAAGAGGAAGTCACTGTTGCCTCAAATGCGCCAGCCCAGAAGCAGCAGCTCTGCCATATGCTGGGTGACCACAGAGGACTTTGTCTCAAAACAGGGTGGGGCTCAAAGCATTTATTCTGCACCAGCAGTAAAGTGCAATGCTGAGAAGTGGGAACATCTTGCTGATTATGCTGAAAAAGGCACAAATATGTGTTTGTGGGGAGGCGGCTGGGCCTCTTCACCTTGCAAGAAACAAAATGTGCTATGAAGCAGGAAGCACACATGGCATCCTGTATTTTCATACTGCTTAATGCGTCTCTGCAAGCTTATCCCAAGTGCTGCCTCATCTAATCGCACTACAGGAATCACAGCAACATTTCAGATAAGACAAAGGAGGTCAAAGGCTTGAGTCAAAGTCACCACAGCAGCTAGTGAAGGTCAAAGATTGCAATGAGCATTTCTCTGCTTCCCACCCCAGATGATTCTATTCAACAAGGCCAAGGAAAGCTTAAGTGGGACATCATCCCTGGCTTTCCTTAAACCTCAGCATGGTAGGAATGAGTAAGAGGAGGAGAAACACAGAGTGTGAGCTTCTATCATCCCCAGTCTGCCTACCCAGGGACTGTCTAGGTGAGTAAGATGAACACAAACCCCAGCAGTGAAACTTTTATGAATCCTGCCTGAGAAGTATCTACTGACTTGGAGAGTATGTTTAAGGGATCACACAGGAAAGTCATGGGCTCCTCCCCACTCAGCCATCTCCACGGACCTAAATAAAAAGCAGATTTAATGCAAATAAGTGGACAGATGAGCTGTGCAGGAGGCAGGCACTGGGATACTCAAGCAGAGTGAGATGAGTGCTGTGAAGGTACCTTCCAAATGGTATTCATGTTGACCCGGATTACATCCAGAGTGAGTTCTGGATCCAGAATTATCTGGATCCAGAGTGAGTTCTGGATCCAGAATTATCTGGATCCAGAGTGAGTTCTGGATCCAGAATTATCTGGATCCAGAGTGAGTTCTGGATCCAGAATTATCTGGATCCAGAGTGAGTTCTGGATCCAGAATTATCTGAGGGAGAGGTTTAGTAGCAGGGCCATCAAGGGTGAGTGACTCTGATCTCCCAGATCTCAGGGTCCCTTGCAGAGATGACTGGGAGTCAAGTGCACAAAGCACAGATGAAGCTGCGACAGGCTGGGACCCCAGGAACCACTGGAATGTCCATTCCCTGCAGCCTGCCTATGCTGAGGTTTCATCTAGGTAACGTTTGACAAAACGGTCAGGGTGAGATTAGGAAGTATACAGCTGTTCCCCCACCAGCCACTCCCATTCTTCTAAGACCAAGGGCTGCCAGTGGGAACCACATTGCTCTGCATTAAGCTTCCAGACCACTTCCCACCCTCCCTTCCTCAAAAGGCCCTTGCCTGGGAGATGCTATCCTATCAGGCCTGCTTTCCCCTCTGGCAGGTGCCACTGGCCTGTGGTCACTCCTCTTGTTCACCAAGGACAATGGCTCCTAGGTCACATCACCCTCCTCAACATGTCAGTTTTTTGCTTCAGCACCCACATGGAGGCTCACACTGCCCTCCAGCCTCCCTAACCCCAGATCTCACGTCTTACGGCTCCTCCCCTGGCTCTGGCCAGCAACCCCAGGTCATACCCTCTATTTTGCCTTTACCTGAGATTGCTCCACCTCTCAATTTCCAAAGCACTCCTGTTTGGCTCAAATACAACCCCGACCAACCCCTCACCATTCTGGAGTTTCTACCTTGTCAAGACCGCTAATCTCCTAATCCCTCCCTAGTCACCTCCTGTTTTCAATTCCCATTTTGGGCCATTAAACCTTAGACTGCACATTTCATCACTGCAATTTCTCCTGTCATGTCATCGGAACTCCCCATCTTTCTCTCACCTTCTTTTACTTCCCTGGCAAAACCCCAACACTGCAGTAAGTGTCTCCATCCCAGCTGCTGAATCCTGATGAGGGAAAGACAGGTGCATGCAGAGCCCCACCCAACACACACACACACACACCTGAGTGCCAAACATCCTACTCTAAAGTGACCCTCTCAGGGCTCAGCCTTGTCCGGAGTTTCCTTAATCAATCTGATTTCCAACACCAAGGAAAACATCTACTTCCTACCTTCCAAGAACATGCTCCACCCACATCTAGCTGATAATATCACTTCATTTCACAAAGAAGAGATTCAAACTCCTTCATCATTTCCCCATAATTCAGTCATCTTCATCTTCTACACTGACCCCTTTCTACTGTACTGAGTCCTGTGTGAGGCTGCAGAGCTGTCTCTCTTCCTACAAAGGTCCCATCCCTCCTCCTCTCTCAAGGACTGTGACCCTTTAGGGGTCCTCCTCCCCATCCCCCTCCCGTCTCTCTCATCGCACCATCTTGATTGTTGCCATCAACACTGGCATGCTCTACCTCCCACCTTAAACACGGCTTGACCCCACAGCTCTCCAGTTATTAACCTGAGCCCCATTTAGGGCTAACTTCTCACATGCTCCCCTCCCCAATCTTCCATTCACTCAACCAATCCAGCCTGCCTTCCACACCACCCTCCCTGAAATTGCTGCCACCATAGTCATCAAACACTTCATGTTACTAAATGGAGTGGACAGTTTTGCCTCTCTTTTAGTGAAACCCTCCTAAGCACTCTGCATAGTCCACTCTCTTGTCTTCTTTAACATGCCTGGTTTTCTCTGCCCAGACTCTTAGGATTGAGCTTCCTCAGGGCCATGTCCTGAGCCCTCTTCTTTTTCTCTCTCCATGGATTACTTTGTCCAGTCTACGTTTTTCTACCACCTTTGTGTAGATGAAGTGAAGGGCCTAGAGGCCCAGCTCTAAACCCTCTTTAATGGGAGGCTCTTTTTGGCAGGGCAGGCCTAGACCGGGGTGGGTCAATTCCCTTCTGATAGTATCAGAGTCTCAGGCATCCCAAAGATGAAAACTCTGGAGCAGAGACACCAGTAGTTACAGGTCTCATGCCCATGCTCAGTCTAAGGAAACCTAGCCACTTCCTTACCCCTCCTGCTCAGTTTCAGAAGAAAAAGACTGGGGATTGGTTAGGATACTCTCCCACATTTTAAGAGCCAACTGCCTTGGTCACCACTCAGACAAGAGCAAGTCTATTTTCAGGAAGCACAGGCGGTCCTCTGCCTCTCTATCCTCCCTAACAAATAAGCTGGGTTAGACCCTGGAGAGCAGCCATGGAGGAGTGTGAGAAGGACCCATGCTTGCTTCAGAAGCTTCTTGCAATCAGGTAGCAGAGTATGTTGACAAATACCCCTTCATGGTTAAACTGGACGTGACCAGGGGAAGGTGTCAGGCTGTGTGTTGTTACAGATTGTATATTTGCATGGCTGGGGGTTATCAGGCTGTATGCATACATACAGGGAGGAAGCAGGCTCTGAGAAGCTGCCAGGGTACCTGGGATGAGCTGTGGATTTTTGCCCCTGGTGCCATGACTTGGAGGGTCCTCTTCTCAAAACATACTGTACACACTTCTCCTTCTTTTAATCTGGTATCATGTATCATCTCTCAGGTCCAATAAGAAAACATTCCCACATCCTTCCCTCCCTCCCTATCTCAGTCTCCATAGGTCCATGGAGGACTGCCTCTAGTGACGAGCTGGAATCTTAAGGCCTGAGATGGAGCCAGGCTGTAGCAGTCCCAAGTCCTGGAGAGCTTCCAGTAACTGCTCCCGGGCAGAGCCAATAAAGGAATTCTCCAGGAAGGTAGGCAGGCCTCCCACACCATCCCGCAGGGTATACAAGGGCACTCGCACCAGGCCCAGCACCTGAAAAAGAAGGAGACAGGAGATACTGGGGCCCCGGGTGGCTCATTCCCTTAACTCCATCCTCTCTCTGGCAGATATTTCTAGATCAGAGGTCTCACCCCTTAACACTCCAGCAGAACCAGTCCCAAGGCTCATACCTCACTAAAGCCTAGTGGCCCAACCTTCTGCAGGAAAATGACCCAAAACCTATTATCTAGCTCTATCAATTAGTATTTTCCACATCTGCTTCTAAACCTCTAGTGGTTCCTGCCTCAAAGATGCATTCATACCCTTTCACCAGTGGTTGTCAAAATGTGGTCCTCAGATTACTTGCATCAGCATTATTTGAGAACTTTTAAAAACTCCAAATTCTCAGGTTTCTTCTCCCCATGGCCCACCACCAATGCAGGAATGCTGGGAGATATTACTGTTTTAATAAGCCACCCAGATGATTCTGCTACCTGCCACATTTTGAGAACCACCTCATACACAGTCTACTAGCCTTGCCTGAAATATCAGGGTCACATGTCCCACACAAGAAAAGCAAACCCAGTAATAAAACGTAGGGTGCCGTGCCTAGATAATGTGATAATCTATCACACTGTCAATAGGGAACAGCAGAGAGACGTGGATGATTGTGTTCTAGAAAAGATGTCTCCAGAGATCCTGGATCTCTCCTGGTAATGGGTGGGGAAAGACCTTTACAGAAAGCCCAGGTTGGCAGTACTAACTCAAAGTAGAGATGACGACGATCCAAACTCCACCAAGAAAACTGGGAAGAGGGCAAGGTCAGAGCGGTAAAGACTTTCCTGCAGGGATTCTTTCTTGGGGGAGGGAAAGCTTTGGGAGAAATGGAAATTGGGAAAGGGACAGAGACCCAGGCCGGCCCCACCTCCAGCCCGTGGTCCTTGGCGCGTGTAGCGCCGGCCTCCACAGCCAACAGCTGCTCGAGCGTCAGACGCTTGGCGTAGAAGTGGGCCACAACGCGCGGCCCTGACCCGGCGTGGGAGCTGCGGTAGTCAGTGCGCTCTACGCGGAAGGCGGCCGCAGCCTCGCCCAGCTCCTCGCGCAGCTCGCGGTTCAGCCCTTCCTCTAGGCTGTTGTCCTGCTTGTCCACGAATCCTCCGGGGAAGCCCAGGCGTCCATCGAAGCGCATCTGCATCTGCGAGAGGGGGAAGCGGGGATTGGCAGGGGCGCCCCGGAGGAGACCCCAGAGAGAGAGCAGGGCTCACGCAGAAAGTGGCCGGGCGCGCCCCCTTCTCACCAGTACGGCGTAGCGCAGCGGGATGCGGCCGAAGAGCATCCCAGGGTCCGGAGCGTAGAGCAGAGCGTGGCACGCATGACGCCAGCCAGGTCCCAGCTCCAGGGCCTCGGCCAGCTCTAGCCTGCGGGACCCGGCCATCGCCGGACACTGCTCCTCCGCAGTCCCGAGGGCCCACGTGGGTAGAGGGGCGGGGTCTCACCTCCGACCAATCCGAGCCTGGGCGGTGCCACAGGCCCAATCCCTGCGGGAATAAGGGGCGGAACCTTAGGGCGGGGCGCCGTGACTGGTGCTGGAGGCCGCCAGTCAGGGCGGGGCTTGCAGCCCCGTGAAGTCCAGGATCCAGGAACCCTAGGGAAACCGAAAGTAACCTTTCGGTTGGCCGTGCGGGGGGCGGGGCTGAAGGTGTGGTCGCGCCCTAAACCTGGACCCAGGCGGGGACCTAAACGTCTCCTGGGAGCCAAAAGAGCAAATCAGGTAACGGGCTTTGGTTGGGTCCGGTGGTACACAAAGCACGAGGCCTGGGTCGGGGTTAGGAGGCAATGAGGCAGGGCCGGCCTCGCACACCGAGGCCTATCCTAGGGAGACGGGGACGGCGCGGCGCCGGGGTCTGACAACTGTCCTGAGTGGTGAAACTGAGGGGACTTGGTGACTGCGCGAAGGGGGAGCGCTGGGCTAGTGGTGGTCAAGAGTTTCCTGGATGTGGTGCCATTCGCTGAGAGGGGAAGAGTGGGAGAAGGGTGGGCAGTGATCAATGCAGTTCTAGTCAAGAATGGGGGGTGGCCGTGGACAGTGGGCAGCTGATCCCGGGGGTGTGACGCACAGGAAGTGGCACATGGAGAAGTCACAAGGCAGTGAGATCTTCAGGGGAAGTGTGGGGCGGACGGAGCTGTGAGTGAACCCTGCGGCCCAGGACTGGGACGAGGAGGGGTGAGAGGTAGAAGCAGCCTCCTGGGCGTTCTGGTCTTTCCCTCCAACACCCTCAGACCTCTGAGCTGTGAAGGAGGCTGGGTTACCCTACCACAAGGGCGGAGGCCTACCCGGGGCCTGACGCTGAGGAGCAGAGATTTAGGATCCCTCACTCCAGGCCAGGCCTTCCCGACGCCGCACAGCACCCCTACACCGGGTGTCAATATGGATTGTGCAATAGAAAGCAGGAGGCAGCTCTTTGAGAGGGGCTGGGCATAAAATCACAGCCTGTAAGTGACAGCATGTGGTGGGAAAGAGTCTGGACCCACCCAGAAATAGACTTTTGACCTTAACAAGTCATGTAACTCTCGGATCCTAGTAGCTCATCTGTTAAGTGGAGATGATACCGACCTATCAGGGATGTTGAGATATGTAAAGCACTTAGAACGGTGCCAAGCAGAAAGTAAATGTAGCCATTTTTAGAGTCACGGGGTTGGGGCACAGTGCTGTCTTATGTTGAGGACCCAGGGCTGGGCACGCTGGCTTACACCTATAATCTCAGCATTGTGGAAGGCACGGGGAGGTCATTCGAGGTCACAAATTCGAGACCAGTCTGGGTAACATAAAGACCCTATCTCTACAAAAAATAATAATAAAGACCCACGTGTTGGAACTGAACTGCACTCTTCAGTCTCCAGTATTCTTAGGAGGGATGAGACTTGTATGACATTATCTTTCCTAGCTTCGTCTTCTGAGTTGTGGGGCAGGGATATCATCTAATAACATGAAGCAACTGCATTAAGGTGATGAGTCTGTAGGTGTGACACAACTGTCATTAGCCTGCTAGAGTTCTAGGGGGTTTGAAAATTGCTCTCCTTTAACGTTACAGTCACTGTGCAAAAAGCTGACACAATTTTTTAAAAACTAACACTTTTGGGGTCCTATCACAGACCAATTTAATCAGAATATTTGTGGGTCATGCAGGGACATAGGTGGTTTTTAAAATGTGTTTTAGGTAACTAATAACCAGGGTGGAGAACCGGCGCCTTCCCCCTTCCACTAGCATTCCAAAGGCGACTTGGTTTTTCTCCTAGAAAGGCTACCTTTAATGATTTAGGATCAAACATGCCCTTTCCAGATCTTCAGGCTGTTCTTTCTTCCCTGGTTGCTTGAGGAGGCTTTAAAGATGGACTTTAAAAGATGGACTTCAAAGATTTCAAAGGCAACGTGAAAAGCTGTAAAACCAAGGCAACAGCTATACAAGTATTAATGATTTTGGAGATCAGAGCTTTTTCTAGATAAATATGGAACCCTTTAGAGCCCCCACCTTGCCATCCTTTTCAAATCCTTCTCTGCCTCCGCCGCACCTCCCCACCCCCAACAATCACCCCCCATTCAGCTATCCTGAGGCAGAATGTCCAGGACTCAAAGCTGCAGGTAGTGGGCTGAGCCATGTACCTAAAGAGCTTGCTGCAAGTTCATAATGGTACTTGGAACCGAAAATAACCCTGTGGTCAGCCTGGGAGGATTCTAAAATACCAATCTATTATTTAAAAAATAATAATGATGTGGCCGGGCGCGGTGGCTCAAGCCTGTAATCCCAGCACTTTGGGAGGCCGAGGCAGGTGGATCACAAGGTCAAGAGATCGAGACCATCCTGGTCAACATGGTGAAACCCCGTCTCTACTAAAAATACAAAAAAAAAAAAAAAAAAAAAAACCATCAGCTGGATCCCTGCCCACCCATGAAACATTTTTTTTTGTTTTGCTTTTTAGATTTATTAGGGCTAGTTTCTGAATAAATATGACAATTTTTTTGTTTTAGTTTTTAACCGTCATTTTATGACCATGGAATACATACATATTGTACACGATTCAAACAATAAGAAAACACATAAAGAAGACTATTTCAAAGGTTGTATCCCTGTCATTTATTTTTAGTTTTACTACATGAGGTAGTCTAGAACAAGGTATGTGATCTGTGATTTCTGAGGGGGACTAGAAGATTTGAGAGGATTTTACTGAGGTTTGATAAGGTCCAATATAAGACTAATTTGGTAAATGCTTCCTGAGGCCTTAAAGGTATATTCTCTGAAGTTCCAGAGTACAATATTTATCTGTTACAAAAAGTATATCAATTATATTTTTGGCCTTTGTGCTGGGTCTATTTGGAGTATAGAGATAATAGAATACCTACATCATAAGGTTGTCCTAAGGTCTAAATATGTTAATAAATGAAAAGAACTTAGAATAGTGCCTACCACACAGTAAATATCTCCCAAATGTTAATTGTTTTCATCATCTTTATTTTTATTCTCTTTAGCTCCTAGATATGCGTACTTAGAAGCTGACATTTTATCTGTCAAGAACCAAAGGAAGTGTGTTGCCACTCCTCAATCTATTTTGTTAATTTCATCCTACATTTGCAGATCATGCTATATATAATTTGAAGTTGGCGATAATTATATGATCATTCTAGATAATCTCCTAGTCAGTTAAAGAATTCTAATGCATTTGACATTCAATTTTGATATTAATATTATTATTTCTTATCTTTGACTGTAATTCCCTTACTTTCTTTCCCATCCTTTCATATTCAGCAGAATCTGTTGCTTTGGTATGTCTCTTAAAATAGTAAAATTTCACAAAGACTCTTATCATATTCAGAAACTAAATCATGCTACTTACCCCACAGCACAACTAGTACATTTTTATTCTTCCTCATGCTCCCTATGATCTAACTTTCATGGAATGATCTAGAATTATGGGACTACCATGTTAATCAAATTATTTATCTTTCATATTATACATATGTCCATTTATTGGTAACATATTGATAGCCATAACACAGGAACTTAGCATTAAATTTGTACATAATAGGAGCCATTGCCTCACAACCAGCTCACAGATTTCTTACACAATTTTCCTGTTGATCGGTTTTTTACTTTGACTCATTTTGTGCATTTCTGAAAAACACCTCTATGGTTTTCCAGTAAATCCAAGCATATCCATGCTTTTGCAGATCAATTTAGATAGACATGCAACTTGTGCTGTTAGTAAATGGATTAATTCTCCTACCTTACAAATGTCTTTCACATGAAAAACATTCTGATGTTGTTTTTCAGTTTTTATCTTTTTGTTTCCCTGAACATAGTGAGTACTGCCCACTTCTGGTGTGATATCTTTTGAGTTTAAGAAAGTTTTCTTCTTATTTCCTCTAAAATGGTGTTCCTGTTACATGTGTTCTGTTAGTATTTTCTCCCATCACTTAACAAGACCCTGGAATCTCATTGTCTGATCTCTGTATCTACGATGTTCTTTTTCGCCATTTTCCTTGTTTTGCATTTTTTCTTTGAGTTCTAGGAGATTTTAGTAAGCCTGCTCTCTACATCAGAGGTAGAGAGGGCTGATGATGCTCTAGGGTAATATTAAGTTCTTCATTATTATCAGACCTCTCTTACAAGACATGTTAAAGCGAGTTCTTTAAGTTGATAGAAAATTATGCTAATTAGTAACAGCATATCAAAGTTTAAAACTTACTGGAAATAGCACAGTAAAATTCAGGTGCTGTATATAAATCATATATCTTTAATACAATGGTTAAAAGAAAAATCTATTAATAGTGACAAAAATTCGTTAAGGAATACACAATATAAAAAGATGTAAATTATAACATTAAGGATGGAGTAAAAGTGTAGAGTTTCTGTATACAATTAACATTTAGTTGTAGTCAGCTTAAAATAGCCTATTACAATTATGTTTTATGTATGCTTTATGGTAACCACAAAGCAAAAACATACAGTAGATATATAAGAGATAAAAGTGAAAAAGCAGAGAATACAATCTTAAAACTCACCTAATCATAAAAGACAGCAAGACAGAAAGAAAGGAACAAAAGACCTACAGAGAACGAGAAAATGTTTAACAAAATGGCAGTTGTAAGTTCTTACCTATCAATAATTACTTTAAGCCAAAATGGCTCCACTATACTCCAGCCGGTTATACTATACTCCAGACAGAGCGGGATGGGACTCTGTCTCAGGAAAAAAAAAAAAAAAAAAAAAGAGCGGTTGAATGAATTTTTAAGAATAACCCAACAACATTCCAGAAGAGACTTCTTTCACCTTTCAAGACAGACACAGACTGAAAGTGTACAGATGGAAAAAAATATTCCATGCAAACTGAAACTAAAAGAGATCAGAAAAAAATCCACATTTCTCTGTATAGATATACTTACATAAAATAGACTTAAAGTTAAAAACTCTAAAAAGAGACAAAAGAA